GCACAGCAATGGGGAGGAATATGCCTTGAATATGAAGTTGCTTGAGTGGAAGTAGAGAGATATCTCAGATACCAGTAACCCCTCTGAGATGTTGGTTCCCAAACCTGGCGCTGGGCTTTCACTCAAAGTTCTCCCAATAGTTGTTGATACCCAAGACATAGCTGCCACCAGCAGATATGATAACATTTTAAAAATAAGTTTTTTAAAAATTCTGTGGAGTCAGGTGGAGCAAAAATGCTTCCTTAACCACAATCCTTGTGATATTTTACATCTAAACTTAAGGGCTGTAATGTCAAAACATAGAGTTTTAACTTCAGCTAAATACAACTTTAAGACAGCCCAGAAAAACATACTCAACTTTTTCTCTTTAACAAAAGTTTTGCTTTGTACCTAGATATTTTCTTTACCCCACTCTTCTTGTAAAACTGTTGCCATCATTAATGTTCAAGGTGACATAGCTGGAGTAAGTTTAAGATAAAAACTTATCAAGATCCATATAGCACTCAGAAATACATGTATTGACATGAGACCTCTTCATTCATTTTCTCCTCTATCCTTTAGTTAGAAGACCTGGAGGTGACTGTTTCTGATCATATGCAGAAGGTCCAGAAGCCTAACTTTATAGCTGCTTGGGATAAAATTGGAGACAAATTTCAGAAAGAGGAAACATTTGCACTCTCTTCTGTGAAGACGTTGGATGGTAAGGGAAATTTGCCTCCCACATCCATTCCCTCCTTATCTATCACCCTAAACAAAAAAAGTCCAACTAATCAGCTTCATGTGGTTTGATTATAGCACAACATCTTCAGTATTCCAGTGAAAATAGAAACTTAGTGTTTTTTCTCACAAAGAATTCCATTTACAAGTTAAAATAAGAGCTGTGAACAAGGAAACAAATCATAGGACATGGACAGTTCTGGTGTTGGTCAATATACTGCATACCCCTAGAAACTGCATGGGAGTTTAGTGGGAGAATGGCAGTACTGAGGAGAAATATTGATCTTCCAAAATTATACTGGAAGATCAGGAACACACGTGGAAGATCTTCCCCAGAGTGTTTGAAGTGCAATGCTCACTTAAGGGCACACAGTGTTCAGATTTAACAGTTATTACAAGGTTCCAGTCAAAAGTTTAATCCAATGAAGCAGAGGTCAGTCGTCTAACAATTTGGTTTGATTTTCATTTCCCAATGCCTCATGTCAGAATACCTCTTTTGCTGTTTCTTTTGCTGCAGAGGCTGTGAATAATATAATTAGTTTCCTTGGAATGCAGCCATGTGAGAGATCAGACAAGGTCCCAGAGAATAAAAATGCTCACACACTCTACCTAGCAGGTAAGTTCCTTCAATGCCTATTGGAAGAGGAGAGCCCTTGTTACACAGAAACAATTATTGTCAAAAGATAATGCAAGCCTGCATTATAAAAGTAACTGGCCTGAACTGCATTTTTCTAGTGTTCTTGGGAATGTAACCAGCGCAAAACTGGATTACAGCTATAAAATCTCTATTTGGCTAAGTAACTGAATTTAAACAATATGTTGCATTCATTTCGTGGTATTAATGTAGAGGATGTATCAATGGATTGTTTAAAAATTGGTTCATGGGATCCTGTATCACTGGCTGGGCCAGCATTTATTGTCCATTTGAAATTTATCTTGAGAAGATGGTGGTGAACACTCTCATTGAACCACTGCAGTACATTTGGATATACCTGCTATTCAGAGAGTTCCAGGATTTTGACCCACTGACAGCGAAGGAACAACAATATATTTCCAAGTCAGGCTAGTGAGTTATTGGAGGGGAAAGTGGTGGTGTTTATTTGCGGTACCAATCAAGCAGGCCGCTTTCTCCTGGATGGTGTAAGGCTTCTTCATAAAAACAGTCAGTCAATACTAGACACTAACCCAAGGAAATAACCATTAGCAGGGTTAACTAAAAGCTGAACAAATATTTGCATTTTATGGAGGGCCTTAAAGGAAGAGAGGTAACCATAGAAGTTTAGGGAGAAAATTAAAAAGCTACTTTTTGGGGCTTAGAGAGCTGAAGAAACTATTTCTGATACAGGATGAAAGAGTGCAGTTCTCAGAAGTTGGTGATGTTGATGAAGCATAGAAATAGTAGAGTCAATATATGAAAGGATTTAAGCAAGATAATGCAAATTTTAAATTTGAGGCATTAAAAGACCAGAATCCAATGCCAGTGAATGAGAACAGGAGTGTTAAGCAAGTAGGACCTTAGTACAAGGCAAAGCTTTGTTGGAAATTGAAAATGAAGACGTATGAAGAATGGTAGCCTGTCAGGAGAGCACAAGAATAGTCGAGTGGAGGTGACAAAGTACAGATGAGGGTTGAAGCAGTGAATGGCGTGACATAGAAGAAAATGGGTGGAAAAACTAAAATTTAAAGTACAAGCTGGAATTTTTTCAGTTCTCTGTCAAAGGCAAGTTTGACCCAACACATCCATGACCTCCAACAGAGAGAGACAGGTGACCAATTTCTAGCCGGAAATGGGATCAACACACCAAGCTGTTGGCTAGACCGGCAGTATGGAGCATCCCACCCCCCCACAAGGTGTCAGTGCTGCAATGACAATGTGACATTTTTACATGGATGTTGTAGCCTAAGCTATGGATAGTGCTGGTAGAGGCTCAAATTTCTTTCATATGGTTGATCAGGAATCTGACTTGCTCTCATCAACTGTCTCTGGCGTATACTAGAATGATTTACAAGTGAATCTTCAGCCTGTTTACCCTCGTGAACATAGCAGGTATGGTTAATAAAGTTTGCACATGACACCAACATTGGTGGTTAGCAGACAGCAAAGAAGCTTACCTCACACTACAACAGGACCTGGACCAGATGGGTCAGTGGGCTGAGGAGCAGCAGATGGAGTTTAATTTAGATAAATGTGAGGTGCTGCATTTTGGAAAGACTTATACACTTAATAGTAAGGTCCTGGGGAGTGTTGCTGAATAAAGTGACCTTGGAGTGCAGGTTCATAGTTCCTTGAAAGTAGAGTCGTAGGTAGACAGGCTGGTGAAGAAGGCGTTTGGTATGCTTGCCTTTATTGGTCAGTGCATTGTTTATAGGAGTTGGGAGATCATGTTATGGCTGTACAGGACATTGGTTAGGCCACTTTTGGAATACTGCTTTCTGGTCTCCCTGCTGTAGGAAGAATGTTGTGACATTTGAAATGGTTCAGACAAGATTTACAAGGATGTTGCCAGGGTTGGAGGTTTGAGCTATAGGGAGAGGCTGAATAGGCTGAGGCTGTTTTCCCTGGAGCATTGGAAACTGAAGGGTAACCTTATAGAAGTTTATAAAATCATGAGGGACATGGATAGGGTGAATAGCCAATGTCTTTTCCCTAAGATAGCAGAGTCCAAAACTGGAGGGTATAGGTTCAAGGTAAGAGGGGAAAGCTTTAAAAGAGACCTAAAGGGCAACTTTTTCCACACAGAGGGTGATGCGTACATGGAATGAGCTGCCAGAGGAAGTGATGGAGGCTGGTACAATTACAACATTTAAAAGGCATCTGGATGGGTATATGAATAGGAAGGGTTTTGAGTGATACAGGCCAAATGTTGGCAAATGGGACTAGATTAATTTAGGATATCTGGTCGGCATGGACGAGTTGGAGCGAAGGGTCTGTTTCCATGCTGTACAGCTGTATGACTCTATCATGAAAGGAGCTTCTGGTCACTACCCACTGCAGTACAAAACTTTGCAAGTGGGATTTGCACGATGCTTGCCCATCTCAATCTTCCTCCTATAATGTTTTAAAACTCAGGTTTGGTTTAATCTCATTAAAGTTGTTCTACCTCACTTTCCCCTATCTGGATGGTGCTCTGTTCCTTGATGTAAAGGTTCAATGACATTCTGATGATTAGACATATTGCGAAGGCTGTACTTATGAAATTGCATGAGTCACAGACTGTGCATAATATAGAACTTTTTCTAAATGATAGGACATTATCTTTTTGAGACACATCATTTCATCATGTAGTCTGCCAATATCCTCCTCCTCATTTAACATAATCGACTTTTCTTCAGAACGATTAAATTGTTTTGGATTATTTTTGTCCTTGCTGTGCATGGATTTTTTTTCACTGTTCTACAGTTTATGTGCGGAGGCTAAGCCCTTCAATCAGGGCAATTGAGCAGATGCGATTGCTTCCAATATGCATCAAATGAGCCTTGCATATTTGCACTTTTTTGTCAATGTGAAAGGAAGGAAGCCACAGAAACTTCGTCTATCTAACCTGCAACTGGAATGATTCTGCACTGGAAAATGCAGATTCATCAGCTTGTGCTTATACCCTGTCCAGCATCTACGTCACTGCAATAAGTTAATATTGCAGCTTAATTATACACACACACACTCATCAGTTCAAGCAAAAATAGTTTCAGATAGCTGCAGGAAAAGCCTGACTTTTATCTGGATCTTATTCCTAGACGGCAGCTAGATCTACGCACTTCTTTAGAGTGTTATTGTGTTCTAGTTTTTCTTCGACTGATCTCTAGTAGGTTAGTTTAGGCTTTACCTTACATTGTAACAGACATTGTCATGTTTTCTAATATTTTTGAACCATCATCTTTGTGTCCATCTTATTGCAGGTGTTTTCAGAGGTGGCTTTGACGTCCTTGTGCGTGCCCGACTTGCTATGGCCGACGGGGTTACAATGCAAGTGACAGTCCGGAGTGAGGCACATGTGGCTGTAGATGTGATCCTGGTTTCTGTTGGTTAAACTCTCATTCGTTTACTTAACTTCTTAAAGATGGGGAACTAAAGCTATGTACATTTGGTTTAAAAAAATTAATGTGGAACATCGTTTTTCTTGGTCCATCTGGGAAACCACCGTGCATCACTGCTTCATTGTAAATCGATTTACAGATTAATATCTGAACATTCCTTTGTGTTCAGACTAACAAATGTTTACAGTTTGTCATCTGTTAAGCCATGTAACAGAACAAAACTGTCCATATAATGAAAAGTACATGCATTTTTTCTGAAACTACATTTATTTACTAAAATAAAGATTAATTATGATCTTTGTATATGCATTTTGTATGAAATTCACAATTTTTTTTGAAAAATCAGTTTCATTTATGGGTTAGATGAAACATTCATCAGAAACATCTTTTGTTCAACTTCAATATTCTTGCAATGCAGTTGCTCTCAGTAGCAGTTCCCTCCAGGCAGCACCACAAGCCGCAGCACTGCTGTTGCAATCAGTTGACAGGGAAAATATTGACAGGGAAAGTATAACTAGCAACAAGCAACAAAATCTTCCAACAAATTCTGACCTAAGTTTACTGTAAAGCTTAATAGATCTTAAATTTTATATCAAAATGCATGCTCTATTTTCCTCTCCTTTAACCTGAATGAAGAGTCGGGATCCATAGTTCAGAATGCTATCACAAGGAAGGAAAGTGGAAGAGAAGGTAATTTAGGTGATATATTGCTTATGTGTCTAAGAAAAATGGAGAGTGATTGCACAAATGTAAGGCGTCTTAAACTCTTTCAGGAATGAAAACTAAGTAGGGAAATGTGTGTAGATGATACATTTAGAGCTTGAAAGAAATAAAACAGGAGAGTTCAGAGATGCACATAGCTGAGTGAATTTTGATAAATGATTTGAGAGGAAATAAATAGCATGCATTATATGAGATTTTTGGAAGAATTTGCCAAGTAGTGTTTCCTGCATATGGTAGCCAAATGAAAGTCCTGAACTTTGATTTTGTGGATTTAACTAACCATTTTTGATAGTGCCATTTCAAAAAAATCTGTCAATCAAAATACTTTGTAGCAATCAATCATGTTAAGGACTCATATATCAAGGAAGAGCTGGTGCATTCTACAGATTGTTTTATAAATGTGCAATGTAACATCTGAAATACAGGATCCCACCTGAATTGTTAAGCTTTTATCACAAACATTAAGCTATGTTTCCAGTTCAAAAGCTAACTAATCAATATTGCATTTTGAGAATTCACTACCTTTTAATTCCAATTGTTGTTTCTTGACAGGCAGATAAGAATAGTGACTAGTATACCAGTTGGTACAAACTGGGTATAAAGAGTTTGGCGTTAGTTACAGTTAGTCAAGGGAATTGTATTTTTGCATGGAAGATTGGATTGTTGTGTGCTACAGAACTGTGCAGATATATTCAACTGACAAATCAACTTTCTGCTACCAGTGGAATGATAATTCATATCAGAGGTTTCACTGATGAATGAGTCTGCCTTGTGTTGAATTTATATATAGGAATAGGGAATGGACCGTTTAGCCAGTTGAGCTTGTTCCACCATTCAATTAGATCATTCTGTATCATAACTATTTGCTTACTTTGGTTCCAGAACTCTAGCCTAACAAAAAAAATCAATTACAATTTTAACAGATGTTTCTCATCCTTTGTATTAAGAATTGCTTCCTGGCATCACCCCTGAATGACCTAGCTGTTAATTTTAAGGCTACATCACCTTGTTCCGAACTCAGCAGAGGAAACAGAAACAACTCAAACAGATTACCTCAATCATCTACTGAAAAGAAATGCAAGCCTAGTCTATGCAACCTGTCATAGTTTAAACATTTCAGCCCCATACAGAATACAACACAGCTCTCAAATTTACTTTATGAACTTCAGGAAGCATGAACTAACAAGTAAACTGTAATTGATGGAAAGTAAGTAAAACTTGGAAAATTATACAAATTGGTTCTCAGAGTATATGAAACAGAGTACACCAACAGTATATGAAACAAATGAAAATGCTAACTGCTACACCCAAATTCCCATTCTGTACTCCTGTTCCACAAAACTGCACTATTTCATAAAGCTTGCAAGGCCTACAGGTGTTATGAGGTAACCAAATTAATCATGCTGAACAGTGATATAATTGAATGGTTTTGCAAAGGACTAATTCAAACATTCCTATTTTGTCCATTTGGTCTGTACCAATGTTTTTGTTCCCAATTAGTAAATTCCCATCATACTTCATCTGCTTAACTTTTCCTCGAAGGCGATATGCTATTCCTCTGAACTGCTGAATATGGTAGCAAGTTCCTTATTTTAATACTCCTGGATAAATACATTTTTCTAAATTCCCAACTGGATTTACTAGTGACTAACTTATAGATTTGTATTCCTTTTCTCTCCTACCCCCACCACATGGGAAACATTTTCTCTTTGTCTGCCATTATCAAGTTCCTTCATAACTTTGAAGACCTCTGTCAGATTATCCTTCGTGTCTTAGTAAAGAACACCGAAGAAATGGATTGCAAAGAGGTAGGTAACTTTAAAAACTCACTAAATGGATGAAGATTGGTGTGTCTTATCCAAACATAGACTAAAAAATGTATCATCCTGAAACTGGAAGTGCTCCATTTCCCTGTTCTGTTCTTGCTCCATGAATTATTTTCATAAGGAGCTATTTACAATTGGTTGGATGTGCCCAACTGATGGGTGTTACATGCAGTAATCTCCAATGAATTATTTCACATTAAGGCAGTGAAACATTCAGTAACATAAAATAAAAGATAAATCGTCAAAGGTGGAAATGCACAGCCAGTTGTCCTACATCTGAAAGGTTTAACATCTTGGGGACGGTTGTCTCTCGACTGTGCGTTACACCCAAAGCATTAATGCACTCGTTCTCTTTCAGAAGCAATGTCCTGTGCATTTCCAAGGTTTCTGGGTTTTATATCAGGTCTCCAATATTGTAACTTTTTTTTTATTTCAGTCTAAATTAAACATTGTTTGTTACCACAATTCTCAATGTAGAAGCAGCCGATGACCATTTAACTAGTCCAGAATGGTCAAGATCCAATGCCGTATTTGCCAATTCAGAAGGAGTTGATGAAGTTAATGTAGGCTTGTTCAAAGCCCAAAGGATCCTCAAGTTGAGGGTAATGGTTGATATGGTCATCAAGAACTGACACTGTTGACTTCGGTACCAACTTCCTGAAAGAAAACAATCATCTCGAGTGGACAGTCTTTCTACTTCCTATCCCTACAGCTTCTATTACCCACACAGAGCTCCTTTCTGCTCTTTAAACAGCAACTACAAAGTAACCTTTACTTTTCACCAAGCTCCGGTTTCGTCCCAAATTCCAAAGATATGCAGGTTAGATAAATTAGCCATAGTAGATTTGTAATTGTGGGGATAAGGTAGGGGGGTGGGTCTGGAAGGCATGCTCTTTAGAGGGTCAGTGTAGAACCTATGTGTCAAATGACCTCTTTCTGCATTGCAGGGATTCTGAGAATGTCATATTTCAGTAATAGTCAGATTTGTTGTTTTAAAAATATGGTTAGAATTTTTAAAACTTCTTAACCAAAACAAACAATTAGACTTGAGCAAGACCAGTATCTGTTTGTCCAACCAGTTGAGGATTTCAATGTGAGAGTTGGCCAGATGAACTGCAGGAGTTCAAGGAGGTAGCTCACCATCACTTCTCAAAGGCAGTTATGGATGGGGAATAAGGACTGGCCTTGCCAGCAATACTCACCTGCCAAGGGATAATATTCAAAAATATTTGATTAGTACTCTTCACGACCACTGGATGCCCCAAAGCACCTCACAGTCAATGAAGTACTTCTGACGTGTGGTCACTTGTGTAACATTAGAAATGAGGCAGCCAGTTTTCACATAGGTTCTGACAAGCAGCAATCTAATAATGAACAGATGTTTTTCAGATGTTAAAATTGAGGAATAAATATTTGGTGAGGTCATTGGGAAAACTGCTCTTCTCTTTGAAAAATGTGCCAGAGATCTTTTGGGTCACATACTGGGGCAACTGAAACCTCTGTTCAATGTCTCAATCAAAATACAGCATCTCCAACATTGCAGCATTCCCTCAGTACTGCACGGAAATGTCAGCTATCGTTTATGCACTCAGGCCTAGAGTGGGACTTGAACCCACCACCTTCTAGCTCAAAGGCAAGTATTGTAGCAATTCAACCTTTGTTACACAATGTGCTGCATATTCTTTAAAAGGAGAATAGTAATCGCTGAAGAAATACTTTTGCTGCAACATACTTAAATACTAGGGATTATATTGTCATGACAATAAGAATCTAATGTTTTCAGGTACTTAGCGTCAGTATTGAACTCAGTCAACAGATATCACTTAAGTCGGATTAACTTTCCCGAACCTAGATTCTGATCAAAGGTGACTACTCAACAAAGAATGAACAACTTGCATCTTTCACATCTCAAAGCATTTTATGTGCAATTAAATAGAGAATAGCAGCAGCCAGAACCTACTGACAGCAATGAATTATCAATCAAATTAACTGTTTCACTGATGTTCGTGGAGGACAAAAAAATAAATAAACTTCTACGTGTCTTTGAAATAAAGACATGGAGTTTTTATGTTGCCCACAGAAGAGCAAACATCCTTGGATTTATTGTCTCGTCTCCTGACATCATCTCCGATATTGCAGTGTAGTGGCAACACAGATTATTTCAAGTTTCTGGAGTTATACTTAAACCTACAACCTTCTGATTGTTTAAAAATTTTTATCATTGATCCAAGCACCACTAAATAACTCCGTCAATTCTGTGCAAAGCAAGTAGGATATTTTGACTGGCCAGACTCAAAATAGAAGAGATGAAGAAAGGGGAACATAAAGACTATTTAACTTAAATAGAAACAAACAGAATTGCAGGTTTCAATTTAGTTTCTTTCTCATGCAAAGTGATGCAAGAAATTCAGAGGGGGCTTTAACTCTTGCCTTTGATCAGTACCTAATTCAGAGTCTGTAGCTGGTGTCACATTCAAATGAAATCAAAAATCAACATTATTCATCAGAAATTGACTCATCTCACAGGTCAACTGAGAGATGATTCATCCAATATAGTTATCCTCTTGGATAAATCTGTCAATTTTTCTCCATGTCTGTCTTTACCTTCTTCATTTAATTTCACCTCATATCAATCCTTCTCTCTCACTGTTACATTTCTTCCATATGTCATTCACTCTTCGTTAATCTTTCCCCCCGTGTAGCCGTTCCGGTCTCTACAACTCTCCCCAGTGTCTATCTATACCTCCCTCTGTCCCTCCATGATCTTCACTTCTTCCATCTCATTTTTTTTTCCTCTCTCTTATCAATACTTCTGTCTCACTTACTCTCTATTGGTCTCAGGATAAGCAGTTGAACAATTATAACTGTGACATTGCTTCACTAAAAGGTTTGTCAATTTTTGGAATTCTCTGCCCTAGAGGGTTGTGGTATTCCATTACTAAATACATTTCAGACTTGAAAAGATGGTGTTGAGCCACCACCTTGAACCATAAGCAATGTACATAGAGGGGTCATATGGTGAAATTCTCCTTTTGCTAAGTTCTTCCAAATACCTGCCCATATTATCGTCTGGATTGACTATGCACCCATCGAATTAAAACAGCTTTTTCCATGCAATCCATTGAAAACATACTTTTTGCTAATTTTCACTTAGGAGCTTGTAACCTTTCAAGACTCCTTTTAAAAAAGAATTAATTAGTTGCTTGAAAAATCAGATACATGGAGTGAGCAATACGGTGTGATTTGACCAGGCAATTCATGGAGAAGAACACCACAAATGAGTTTTCAGAGTTGCAACTGCCTGTATTTTTATGTCTTTTGCTCTTATTTTCTTGGTATACATTGTGTAATAATATATCTTCACCTTACCTATATAATATTTAAATACTTTGGGGACCTTAACTACTTCTTCCACACTGTAAAGTCTTGTCTTCACGATTTGTCTTGTATACATGGGTAAGGCTCGTTGTTCTTTTCTCCATTCAACATAATGCAAGCTACCTTTTTAATGCGTTATAATCAATGTGAGCATACTATTCGAAATGTGATCAGGTCAGACCGGACCAGTATACCCAAAGTTTGGTGTAACTTCTTTAACCTGGTTTTCCACTCTCACGGTTATACTTCCTAGCCTCTTATCGAGGTCTCTACAGGTTTATTTGGACATTGAAATGAGATAGGCCTTTGGACCAATTGAGTTCTACTTAGTCTTTTCCAAAGTCCTCTGGATTGAGTCAATGCTACTGACTCTATACATAAATACATACTTTACATTTATTTGACTTTCCTTACACAATGTTTAATTTTCTATGTGTTTTTCTAATTTCCTAACTGATCTAAATCCACATACATAGCAAAGATCCAAAGCCAGATGAAGACAATTCCAGTACATTCCAACCATTTAAGGGTTGGAGAAAGTCATCAAATAATAACAAAAATAAAAAATTACCACCACTTACTGATAAAGATCCAGAAACTCAGGGTGAGGGTTCACACAATCCAATGGTCCATAGATTAAATGCACTGCAACAAAAGTTGCATATTAAGGATATTTTTATTCAGTCATTACAGCTATATTGAACAGTATTAGTTAATATTCAGTTCAAGGAACGACAATAGTATTCATAATGCCTTGGGTCAAGACTGATGCCTCTGATTATATTCAGGAAAGACTTAACATCTTCTCAAAATCCACAAACAGGACCAGCTTGTCATTGTTTCAGCCTGTTTCTGTCCCACTGAAAGTATTTCTTCCTACCTTAACTCCAATTTTCTGTCCTTGTTCAGTCTCTTCCCACTTATATTTGTGATTCTCCTGATCAGTTCCACAATTTCCAACTTCCTAGCCCCAGCTGCCTCTTCTTCATTCTGGATATGCAGCCCCTCTCCACATCCAGGATAGTCAGAAGTCTCTCCACTCCTCCTTGAAAGGAGACCTGAACAGTTCCCATCCCCAACCATCCCCTTTCGCCTGGCTGAGCTCATTCTCATTTTGAACACTTCTCCTTTATCTCTTTCTCCAAGTCAAAAGGTGTGGCTTTGAGTACACATAGGTCCCAGCTATGTCTGTCTCTTTATGGGGTATGCGGAACTTTCCTTGTTCCAGTTGTACTTGGGCCACTTCCTACAACTCTGCTACTTTGATGATGTCACTGGTGCTGCTTCCGGCTCTCATCTGGAATTGGAAAAATTCATTAGTTTTGCTTCCAATTTCCATTCTTCTTTCTCCCCTACCTGTTCCACTTCTGATCCTTAGTTCACCTACCTGGACTTCTCTGTTCCATTTCTGGAGATAGGATGTCCACCACTATTCATTACAAATCCAGCTAACTCCCAGTTACTGATATTACAATTCCTCACATCCTACTTCTTTGATAAGGTATCATACGTTCAGCTCCTTAGTAAGATAAGAGCCCAAGGTGTTATACAGTCAGTCATACAGCATGGAAACAGGCCCTTTGGTCCAATCAGTCCATGCTGACATAATCCCAAACTAAAGTAGTCCCACCAGCCTGCACTTGGCCCATATCCCTCTGAACATTTCTTATTCATATACTTATCTAACTGTCTTTTAAACATGGTAACTGCACCTGCATCAACCACTTCTTCTGGAAGTTCATTCCACACATCAACCACTCTCTGTGTAAAACAATTGCCCTTCATGTCTTTTTCAAATTTTCTTCCTCTCACCTTAAAAATATGCCCCCTGGTCTTGAAATCCCCCAACTGAGGGAAAAAAACTTGCCATTCACCTCATCCAGACCCCTCATTATTTTATAAACCTCTGTAAGGTCACCTCTCAAACTCCTGTGCTTCAATGAAAAAGGTCCCAGCCTATCCAGTTTCTCCTTATAACTCAAACCCTCTTTTCCCAGCTACATCCTGGTAAATCTCTTCTGAACGCCTTGCTGCTTAATACTTTCCCTTCTATAACAGGTAAACTAGAACTGGACACAGTACTCCAGAAGAGGCCTCGCCAATGTCCTGTACAACCTCACATCCCTAACATCTCAACTCCTACACTCAAAAGTCTAAGCAATGAAAGCAAATGTGCTAAATGTCTTCTTATCCACCCTATCTATACATGATGCAAACCTCTGGTTTCTCTAGGTCTCTCTGGTTTACAACATTACCCAAGGCCCAACATTTAATTATATAAGTCTTGTCCTTGGTTGTTTGACCAAAATACAATACCTCATGTTGGGGTAGCATATTAGCATAGACAGAGTTGGGATAATGTGGACATTTTCAGAATGGTAACCTGTATTTAGTGCAGTGGCTTAGGGATCAGTGCTGGAGTCACATTTTTACAATATATATTAATGACTTAGATTAGGTAAGTAAATGTACAATACCCAAATTTGGGGATGACACAAAAATAGACGGGAAAACAAGTAGTGAAGATGACGATGAATCTGCAGAGGGATAGACAATTTAACAGTGTGGGCAGAAACTTGGCAGATGGAAATATAATGTGGGAAAATCTGAGGTTATGCACAATGGCAGGAAGAACACAGAACCAAAATATTTAATTAAATTTAGAAACACTGCAGGAAACAGCAGCACAGAAGGATTCGGGAGACTTCATACATGAATCACAAAACACTAGCATCCAAGTTCAGCAAGTAATAGGGAAGGCAAATGAAATGCTTGGTTTTATTTAAAAAATGAATGACATTAAAAATAGAGAAGTCTTGGTAAAATTATACAAGACATTAGTTAGCCACACCTGAAATACCATGAACAATTTTGATCCCCTTATCTATGGAAAGACCAAATGGCATGGAGGCAGTCGAGAGAAGGTTCACTAGATTGATCCCAGGTAAGGAGGACTTTTCTTATAAGGAGAGGTTTAGAAGGTTGGTCCAGAGCTCATTGAAGTTTAGAGGAATTACAGGCAGCTTTATTGAAACATATAAGATTCTTAAAAGGACTCGACTGAAGAGAACGTGGAGAGTTTGTTTCCTCTCCTGAGAGAGTCCAGGATGAAAGAGCATAATGTCAGAGTAAAGGGTTGACCATTTAAGACAGAAGACACGGATTTTTTTTCATTTAGTAAGTAATAAACCAGTGGAATTCATTACCGTGAAAAGCTATCAAGACTGAGTCATTAAGAATATTGAAGGCTAAAACACATTTTAAGCAGTCATGGAATAAGGGTTTTAGGGAAAAGACAGGAAAGTAGGTTATCCGTAATCTCACTGAATAGTGGAGCGGACTCAAAGGGTTGTTTTACTTCTGTTCCTAGGTCTTATAATCTAAATCTGAGACCCAGCAACAATAATCTTATAGAGTCACTAAAGTACAATCTGGAGCAGAGCTTCTGGATAATTTGTTCATTTCTCCTTAGCCCAAGGTACAGAGATCAATTTGACCACTGCTGAAACTGAGATTAATTAAATCAACACAGACTGCAATCAAACCCAAGATATCCCTGGTCTGTGTGCTGTAAAACCACACAGTTCATTAACCCCTCAGAGTTATAATGACACAAGGAATATACCGCCCAAAGAAAGGGTTGATTTTACCAACGACAATTTTATTGTCAACAGCTCTCGTGTATGAGAATAGCTTCTTATTTCCTTTAATATAAAGCACAATTTGTTCTACATACATGGAACAGAAGTCGAAGTCAGGGCTTTTACCCATCGATCTCTGTACTTCCATCTTTGATTAATAAACTGCAAAATACTGAAAAAGAATTAAACTGTAGAATGTTAGACTGACAGTTCCAAGAGCTGGGTCATTATGACAGTGAAATATGTTTATTAAATGGACTCACCATCTATACAGGCTCAATATAAGTTTGCATATCACCTACAGTATGTCACAGGAACAGGAAGTTGCTTTGTGACCACCTACAGGTTATTACTTATCCTCTTCCAGTCTTCAATCTTCCTCTGTCGCTTTATTTTTTGAACTATCCCTTGTTGCCCTTTTCTCATTTGTTACTCTATGTTCTCCTATTCTACTGAAACTTCCTAGTATCTCACCCACAGTACACAATGCTGCCTTGTGTTTCATTATTTTAAGATGAGGCACTTTGACATTAGGTAACCGACCCTAAATGTCATTTATCTTACTCTCCTGTCTAAGCAATATCTGAATTTCAATTACATTTTCCCATTTTCTTGAATTTAATACATTGAATGGATGTGGAGAAAAGAATTCTTCACTGGTGCATCTGTTCCAAAAGGATAGCAGCAGTTAGCTAGTTGGTTTGGATACTCTACCTTCTCCCATTTATTCTTCAGCTCCAATTATCTAAGAAAGTCAGGGGCTAGAAGACCTACCCCAAAGTACAAACTATTCCAGCTGAATATTTGTCTTAATTACTTATTTATCTTCTTTATAAGGAACATTAACTCTTTTTATTCTACCTTGAATTGTGGTGGTGCTGGGGTGGGAAAATGATAAAATCCCAGTCAAGGTGTCAACACCCACTCTCAGCAGATACTGGCTTCCTTTTAAAGTTTTACCCTGAATCTGTGGAAGTCTCTGATTATTTTTGACTTCAGTGATAAATATTAGTTAGCTTATAACATTTACAATATATTTGTAATTTCTTTTGCTGGAAAACATTGGATTTTGCATTGATTTGAATGAAGCAATGCAAATAACACAAATTGGAAACATATTGCCAAAACATGACTGATCAAATCAATTAAATTAAGCAACACTGAATTAAAATGTACACAATAAAAATGTTAAAAATCAGAGGAAAGGAAAAGCTTTCTTTCCAACATTCCACAGGCAATATAAAACCTGCTGTACTGTGGAATTTATCAACTCAACTCCCCCACTGATGAAAGGTTTTGTAATAATCTGCATCTTGCCTCTCAGAGAAGTGAATACTGCACAGCCCTGACCCAGCAGATTCTTTAACACATTTGCAAGGTCCCAGCAGCTCAAGGAGAAAGGATATTTGCCTACATCAATGGATTATCTGTACTTAAACTGGTAAGCCTCAATCCAGTTCCTAACCAGATACTCAGCTTTATGTTTTTACAGGTATTTATTTGCACCACAATCCCTGTTTTAACTGGGCCACATTCTCACTCAAATAGAATTCTGCACAAAATCCCCCCAAAAGTACTCCTTGGATGTGAAAAAGGCTTAGAGGTCCTTACCTCTGCATCCCAGTGCAAAGCCTAAAGAATCATAATGCTTATCAAGTAAAAACTGATGTTAAAAACTTTATAGTAGGATGCTTAAACTGCCAGTGACATTAAGACCAACTGACAGTGTGTAAACTGATCATTAGAAAATGTACTAACCGAGTCCACATTTAGCTAGAAGTTTAACAGAACACAGAACTTGCTGAACTGAAAGTTTTGATTTAGCCAATTATAAGGAGCTGCTTTGCACTAAGACTTTAATTGCTCTGACATTTTCTGATATTTAAAACCCATTAGGTGTTCAACTCAACTAATAAGCATATGCTACTTCTGTTGGACTATGACCTATTCAGCTGGATATTTAAAAAACGTATTTCCTCACTATAGGCAATAATTTGCTTCTCCTCTCTGCTGAACTAAAAAACTTATTACATTATTGCTTATTCTAACACATCCTTCCTCATAACCTTGAAAGTGTCTTAGACCTTACAATCATTCATTCATCCAGTTTTTACTATCTTGAGACTTTTAAAGGTGTAATTGCAGGTTTAACTTCATCTCTATGCTTCCCTCCAAGCCGCACACGTTCCTGATGGGGGACTATATCACTATCGTTCCCTACTGCAGAATCACTATCGTGGAACTCCCTCCCAATAGCACTGTGAATGTAACAGATGGACTGCAGTGATTCAAGAAGACAGCTTACTGGATGGGTCTTCTCATGGGCAACAATATTTATCACTGAAGTCAAAAGTAGAGACTTCCACAGATTCAGGGTAAAACTTTAAAAGGAAGCCAGTATCTGCTGAGAGTGGGTGTTGATACCTTGACTGGGATTTTATCATTTTCCCACCCCAGCACCACCACAATTCAAGGTAGAATAAAAGAGTTAGTGTTCCTTATAAAGAAGATAAACAAGTAATTAAAGCAAATATTCCGCTAGCCTGACTAGTGATGCTCAAATCCCATGAAAGAATGAAAAATACCTTGAAATCATCTAACTTGATTTAACTCATCTCCTCTCCATATGAAGAATGCTGCAGGAAACACCAAGACTCTCAGTCATAACCTCAATGCAGGTTGAAAATGTTTATGAGAGTAGGTGGACAGAGCAGTAATCTTTCAGATGGTATTTTTGCAACATAGTACTAATGAGAGGAAAGTTCTGACAACCATTATCGATAAGTAATATTGATATTAGAGTGAGAGAAGTGGGAGGTTTCAAGTCAGAGAAGGATATAAAGCAAAAATTAGCAGCCAAGATGTGCTTGGCACAGATTATTTCCTCACATATATTCTTGAATATTTGCACAATTAACACTAATTTATGTAGTCTACATCCAACATCATTCCACAATATTTTACATTTAGCACCTGTGCAACAATTATTTGCCTGGTTGCTGCGATTGAGACAGTGAAAGTGCCAGTTTCGGATGCAATAATGAATACAAAATGGCACAACTGCGTTGTCTAAGATGAGACACTAGCAACATTATGTGCTGTTGCAAGCTGTAAATAAAAAAAATGCATGCTGCACGATTTTACATTTTTCACTCACCTGTCCATCACCAGGTTCCCATCATTGACCCGGACCATGGTCCATATGTCCCAGTATTCTGCGTTCGTTGGCTGTGTGTGGGGTCCAAACACTGCACTGATCCTGGAAAAAGCCCCAAGCATATACCCCTTCAGGCAGCTTCTTCACACCCAAAGTTCCATTTGTCATTAAAATAAAAATGAATAAATGCAGCCATGAAAGGCATGGATTATCATGATAAACCCAACTAGTTCACAAAATAAAAACCAAATAAACTGTGGATGCTGTAAATCAGAAACAAAAACAGGAATTGCTGGAAAAGCTCAGCAAATCTGGCAGCATCTGTGGAGAAATATCAGAGTTAACATTTCGGGTCAAGTGATCCTCAGTTCTGAGGAAGGGTCATTCAACCCAAAACATTAACTTCGATTTCTCTCCGTCGATACTGCTAGACCTGCTGAACTTTTCCAGCAATTTCTGTTTTTGTTTCTAGTTCATGAAAGTTCTTTAGGAACTGAACTCCAATCTCTTACCAACATTACTCACCAACTTTCTATCCCTCTGAAATGACTATTAAGAATGGGCAATAAATACCGAATAATCTACATCTTAGTGGTACAGCAAACATTTTATTGACTGGCTCTTACGGGACCAGGAGCATGCCAGTGATCAAATATTCTGGTAATTGAAAGGTCCACATAATCAATGTAAAAACACAGACTAAGTAATAGAAACATAATGCAGGGGGTATTCATATCAATGATGTACTTTAGTTACAGCATAAATCACTTATATAATAATAAATGTGCCTTAAATAAAACTTACCAGTCAAGAGCCTTCTCACTCAGACCCTCAACTATTCGGACATAGCGGTATTTAAGGAGAAATTAACTTGAAATTGATTCAACTCTTGATATTTTATATGGCAATTTAATTGAAAAACAAGAATTTTTATGTCAAGGTAAATAAATTAAAAAACTATAATAATTGGACAGAACAATACAGTAAACTTCACAGTATTTGAGGTATATAATTTTTGCCAGTTTATCGAGTGCCAGTTAAAACAAAGTTTGCTGTACTATGAGGGTCTTTGATAAGTGGTGAATGCTCACTGAACAATGCTGTGACACAAGGAGATGTGGACCTGGACTCCTTTTACCATCTGAGAGTCTAGCTGGTGCTTAAGTTTTGCTCGAGAACTTGAGACATGTCACACCAAAAAGAGAGCCCAAATGAGACAAGCTAACAGTATGCCTGCAGTATATCTTCTTTAGTTCATTAGTACTATAAAAATACATCACACCAACTTTTTCTTCACTAAGGTTTGTGAATTAAAGACTCTATACTACAATTCATTGGAAAGCATTTTATCACAAACAGCAATTAAACTCTCACGTGCAACTCGGAAGGTTCAAATCAGTCCTGCCTTGTTTGTTCAATGAGTTGGAACGGTGGGTTGAGAATGGAACAAACACCCTATCCAATTCTTGTTCAGACAGAATTTGTTTATTTCTGTTGCACACTAGCTTTAATCCAGTTTACACCTAAATGCGTACAGTTACAGAGCTTACCCTTTTGAAAAGAAGTAGTAGTTCATAAGTCTGGTAAAGATGGGTGAAAAGCACCCACTGTCCTTGAGCAGCTGTTAAGAAAATAATCATAAAATTTATTTAGAAATCCAACGCTCATATCTTAATTCTATGTTTTGTCTCTGCTCGCAGGTACAACTCCCCCATACTTTACTGGATATTGAGAACAAATATGTACATAAGATTAGAAAGCCCATGTAGAATTTGCATTTACTATTGATAAACCTCAACCCCTGTTGTCAGAGCTTGTTACATTTCATGTCAATATTTACCATTGTAAACTGCTATCCACATTTCTCCTTCAACATTGCTCAACATTCAAAATGTTGTTTCAGATTCTGATCATGTGGCTCCCTGGAATGAGTTTCTGAAGTCTCTGTTCCAATTCAGTCAACATTCCTTACTTACACAAAATTATAACCACTATGTAGATAGGGAGGAAGAGCATAGTACATTAAGTAGCTATAAATGAAAAGAGCTGAAGTAACTTTTCATTTTTTCTAAGTTTTCGCAGTTTCAAATAGCATTATTACATTGCTTAAGGAATAGCAATGGAATTTTGCCAGTCCATGTTAACTCTTTACTACTCACTTCTGACAATAAGAATGTATTATATTTTTAAAATAATTTAAAATCTAGGTTAATAAAATAAGGATACAATATTAATTTCTTTTCCATTAGTAATACCAGTGACTTAAAATTTCAAAGAAAGCCTGACAAGGATGAAGCCTTCAAGTCTTGAACTAGGTAATATCTTCCAATTAGTACTTCTCCACTCTTGTGATTTACAAGATTCTAGGTACAATATGCACTGCGTTAGCTGATCTCACTGTCAACGAAATTCTACAACCCCACTGTGTTAGGCACAGTGTCAAACTAAAATAGGCCAAGTTTCCTAATTCTAATGAGCAGCTATTGATATGACAAGTACCACCAAAACCAGGATCAGGTTTGGGTTTTCCTGATGACTCCCCCAAACATGGGTAAATAATTTGTTGAGACCATTGTTGGCACTGACAAAAAAATAGACATTTCAGTGAGAAACTGGGCAACTGACAAGTGCGTAGGTCTGTACCCCAGCAGGAATTGCTGACACTGGAAAGGAAGGGGTGTAAGGATAAAAGAATCTGAAGAAAAGGTGACTCATCCCTTATAATATCACTTAAATTTTGCACGTCCCAGCTGAAAACATATACAACACAAAAAAATTTAAATAACTATTCCCCTCAAGCTACAGATCAACTGCTCTTCATTTTCTTCACAACGAACAATACTGGGCCAACACTCTTCACAGTCCTGGAAAGGATACCCACTGCAGCACACCTTTACCACCTTGCCGAGTGAACAGCCATAATTGCCAAATATCTCAAAGTTAACCGCTCTGGAACCTCATCTATTTCCTATTGCAGTTTTACTGCGTGCAATGTTTAGTACTACTGACGGGAAACTGGTGCTTTAAGCTTCAAGGTAGCTGCACGTTACATTGATTGGTTTCTATGTTCTCAATCAATTTAGCCTCGCTAGTTTGTGTGTGCATTCATGTTCTATATGAGCTGTTCCTGTTCTAGTTACTTCATCTCACCATATCAAAAGATTCTTCCAATCCTTGCTGCTTCACATACTTGGGTACATTTAAGGAGAAGCTTCATATGATATATTCAACTCTTAATTGGAGCTCAACCCTTAGTACAATGAATTCATGCAGATTTTATTTAAAATAGATAATATACAGACCTTCTGTATAAATCTTGGGTGGTTTGTCTCTGGAAATATTCCTAAAATGATTGCAAAGAATGAGGTAAGCTGTCATCCGGAGGAACTGAGTATGATATAAATGAGTTATCATTTTAACAAGAGAGCCAAATAGTGAAATACCTCCATTGGACAAGCACAGGCTATTAATCATCAGATGTCCAGGTTTACCATGTTCAAACCTAACATTGGAGAGATAATACACAATCATTTGAACTGTGAAACTTCCAATAGTGGGATTACATTGTAGTCCCGACAGGCGCAAGTCCTATCACAGATCCCAGTCTCAGACCAGGAATAATGCCAGAGGGTTCCAGCAGAACAGGATCAGTTCAGCCATTATTTCTGCTCAGCAATAATGATGCCCTATCCATCAGCATAGGCAGTATGGTGCAGAGTTATGCTCAGTGGCACACAGAGTCTGTAGCTGATACCAAGCTATACAATCTCAGGACTGATCCATGATCTATGCCAGGTTAGTTGATTTCAATCACAACCTCAACACAGGGGCAGAAATGCCATAAGACTGCCTCTGAGAAAAGACAGAATTCAGAAAAGTGCTCCATTTTTGATCACAATCCAAATGACTTGCTGAACACCAGGTAAAAATGGAACAGACTGTGGCCAGTGTGGTTCTGTCTACGAGTGTGCAGCCAGTTTGCAGAGGATAGTAATAAAGCGCTTGGAGGGGGGAGGATCTTGGTGTGGAGGATTTTGGCATTAATGTAACAGATTGAACATTGAAGCAGAGAGGTTGAGGGGATGCCTATTAGAGGTGTATAAGATTATGAGGGGCATGGACAGAGTGGATAGAAAGCAGTGTGCCCTTAGTTGAAGGGTAAAGAACAAGGAGACACACTTTTAAAGTGAAAGACAAGAGATTTAGAGGGGATTTGAAGAAAATTTTTCTCACCCAGATGGTGGCAGGGGTCTGGAGTGCACTGCATGGGATGGGAGTTGAGGCAGATAACCTCACAATCTTTGTACAGTACTTGGATGAACATCAGGAGTCATAACATTCAAGGCTATGGTCCAGTGCAGGAACGTAGGACTAGTGTAGGCAGCAGTGTATTGTTGGCGATAGACTCAATAGGCTTGTAGGGCTTCTTCTGTACTGTATGATTCTGTAAGCATTCACTAGGAATTCCAAATATACAGTTTTTGAAAAATTGCAGGTAAACAACATATTTAACGTTGTTGCTCAGGAACTGATTTCCCACCCCCACAAAATGCCACTTATTTTTAAAGTCATAACCTGTACAGCAGCTCCAGTGCAACAGTATCTCCATAATCATGGGCTAGGATGTTGATCTTCTGCTGAGAAAGGCCCAGTTCCACTAGTAGCCCCTGGACAATGTCTGCCTGCTCAAAGAAGGAGTATCTATGCAGCCTCTATTGAAGAGCAAATGCACCGCATTTAGCAATTAACCTTGCAGATACAAAAGCACCCCCCCAATTAATTGGCAAAATAGACACATCTCATGACAATGTTACAATTGCACAAACACATCTTTACCTTCAGCTATTTTAAAGATTCTCTCTCTCTATCTCTCTGTTAATGAACTATTTCTTTGATTGAAGTGACTTGTTATACAATTATATGTAGCACTCATGGAGTGCCAATACATAGCAATGAGTAATATGATCCATGACTGAAAGGCAGACAGTCTTGTATTTAAGTGCTTAAGTATCAATGAGGCTATTTTGAAGTGTAACCTTGGCTGTAATGCTGAAAATATAACAGCCAATTTGCACACATCACCAACGAAAATAGACCAAATAATCTGTTCTGATAATGTTGCTTAAGGCACAAATATTAGCAAAAAACTAAAATGTTCCATCAACCAGTACAACCAGTCACTGTAGTAGATTACATTGTTTTTTGTCATTCTTTCTTTCAAAAAGTATTCATTAATGCTTTTGAGAGTTGTAGTCTTTTACAGCTTAAATAGTTCTTTCACCAAAAATAAGCATTTTTAAAATAAATGTCCTATTCCTCCACTTCAATGGGACCAATGTCCCTGCAGCGGTTCAAGATTTCACTATCACCTTCTCTAGGTGAATTAGGAATGGGCAAGAAATGCTGACCTAGCCAGTGACATCCATATGAATATATATCAAAAAAAAATCACTGAAAATGGTCTTAAATATCTTTGCTGAACCATTTACTACTTTCATTGATGTACCCTAGTCAGTTTCTTAGTAAATTATTTTGATACGAAAAGTCTTTAAAAAGCAGGCCAACTAATGCCAATAGGCCTACAAAATGTTCATATTAGGAGTTTTCCAAACCACTGGAATTTCACAGTATCAGAATGCAGTATGGCCAACTGCGAGGGGACCTGTTTCAAATGAACAAATTTGTAAACCAGGGTAAAAGTTAGAGCCGTCTTGTGACACAGTGGTAAGTGTCCCTGTCCCTGAATCAGGAGGCCTGGTTCAAGTACCACTTGCTCCAGAGGTATGTAACAACATCTCTGAACAGGTTGATTAGAAAAGATAGGTTAATTTGAAAAAACAGCATAAAAGTATCACAGCAAGCACAAATATATAAAGGTATTCTTGGTTGTAACTCACGCCCATTTCAAATCCTCAAGTTTTTATTAATTTTTTAAAAAACTTTTTTTGAACTATTTTTCTAATCAGCCTGTTCATAGGTGTTATTATACACCTGTGGAGCAGGTGGGACTTAAACACAGGCCTCCTGGTCCAAGGTTAGGGACACTACCACTGTGCCACAAGACAACCCAACAGATTGGACTGATTTCATTCAGTTTGCACTGATCTAACTGGTGGAAACAAGCAGAAACCCTCTCCCTATAAATTTTTTGCAAATTAAAATCCTACAGTTGACAACTATTCAGCTTTCTACATACTATGAATTACATTCAGTGCTCAAAGGGTTAAACCTTCCATAAAAGGAATTGAACATTTCTCAGCAATCAGATACTCACAGGTTTATCACTAAATCCAAAGCCAAGAAAATCTAATGCGATAACTCGATTAAACCTCAGAGTTAAGCCTTCCCAGATCTAAAACAAAAAGCACATAACAATCCTTTTGGTACTCTCCAACATTCTATAGAGTGTTTAGATCTTAATTGTTATAGGTGAATCTGCTTAAATAAAGAGATCTCTTTGATCATTCACTCTAGTTTATTTCAAAATTAAAACTTAAATATATATTTTTGATAATAAAGCAAGTAAAGTCACCATAATCCTACCAGACCATTGGGCTGTTCTGTCACTGGAGAGAGATGACTGGTGGTGGTTTAACCCAAGGATAACCATGCCTCAGGTGAGGGGAGAGGTTGAGGAGAGTCCTTCATAGTAACCTCAACCAATGTAGGAATTGAACCCAGAATCACCAGTGGTCCAGCCAACCGAGTTAACCAACCTCCTAAGTTTGACAGTATTCTAGGTTTCAGGATCTCTCGGTACTGAGTGAAATCAATTTCCAGTAGTAACCAGAAATAAAACTCCTAGCCAATTTCACCCCTCGAGTGAAGGTGTACTAGAACCAGCTAAGAATTCTACCAGATGAAATAGCAAAGCTCAGTGTTCAAAAATGTCAGATTTTAGATATTTTCACAACGGAAGTAATCCATTCAAACTCTACTGCATTCAATCCAGTTCTACCTGTATGTCAGTGTAATATTTTATCCACAACTCACGGGCTCACTCCTCAAAGTCACAGCTCCACCATCGTTACCAAATCCATTCTCCACTTTAAAATCAAAACAAGGGAAAACAATTTTGACCAAACAACTGGACCAAGTCTTGACATTCTTCTCCCCCACTCCTTACCTTGTGCCAATCATAGCTTGATGTTGGGAAACCATGCAAAAGGATCACTATGTCGGAACTGCCAACAGCACCCAGAGAATCTGAAATTTGTACACAGATTGCATTAAAACAGCCTAAAGAACATTGGGCAAGTTTAGGCTAGAGATCCCATGACACGAATTGAAGAAAAGTCTGGGCTAGCATTCCTTCCTTAAATATTATCAAAAACAGCAGATTCATTCATCACATTATTGTTTGTGAAATCTTCCTGTTCGCAAATGGTGCCCATTTATCAATATAAGGTATTACATGTCAAAGTAATTATATTGAACTCTTTAAGATAACTCAATGATAAGTCGTGATGTGTATTCAAGGATAGCTACGATGTCCCTACTCGTCAGAATCCAGCCTTTTTTCCAAGGATCACATTGTGAACCCAGATGGATGATAAAAGCTGCCCTAGATCAGGTTCTGAAAGCACCCACATGCCATCATTACACCCTCGTCAAACATGAGATATTTGGACCAAGTTAGCCAAACATTAAGGGCTTCCTACACAAATGTAGGCTTTGCCAAAGAGGGCTTTCTACTGAATGAGGAACCTGACAACAAAAATAAAAGGTTAGGACAGATGGTTAAAGTCTTCTCTTAAGATAAATGGCACAACTTCAAATGTTATTGTTAATGTACTTGCTTCGTTGCTCACATCTTACAACTTTGCATTTGTAACGCACTATCCTCAAAGAGCGACTTTTAGTTAAGTAAACCCTGATCAAGAGTCTGCCTATTTCCATAGGCCTTATAATGTTGAGAACAGTGGGTTTATACATTTAATTATCACAACTTTTCAGAAAAAAATGTGCATTTAGAAATGCAAGCCAACGTAAGACAAATATTCCCATTTGTCACATAACAAAGCAATAAACATTTACATGTACAATTACAGATTAATTAAAGCCATGTCATTGGAGCATTAAGAACAGAACTATATAATTAAGTGATATGAGCCTGCCCTACCATTTAGTATCACTGTCATATCATTTTAAAACCCTCACCTCTGTAAAATATGCGGTGGTCTTTGTAAGTAAAGAAGGCTCCAGCCATTCGCCATGAATAGAGAGACGGTGAGAGACTCGGGGGAGGAAGGTGAAGGTAGACTGCAATAAGTGGTGCAGCGAGAAGTGCAACCTGGATCCACCACTCTTTCATTTTTAAAACAAAAACTACCACGTATGGATTCTTCAAAGAAAATCGTAATTCAATCCTGGCTCTTTCTTGTAAGTGGACTTCACTTTCAAATTAGACAAAGGCAAGAGAAAAATAGTTATCACTAATACCTGTGGGTTTATATTCAAACATATTACAAGTTGTACAACCTCCAGGCCACTAAAAGAAGAAGTCTTTCAATGTTATTTTAAAGCTATGGCTAATCTTTTAAACCAACACCCATCCGGCTAAACATCTACAAAACCATGTTAAACTACCATCCAAATTAAACACTCAGCCCTCATACAAAAATATCAAGAGAAGTTTCAATCCTGAAGCAATTCGCTTATAAAGGTACACTGTTCAACCTCACAAATGGGTAAGGGTACTTGGGTAGTAAACTCCAAAGTTTGATCCATGGCCTCTATTGAGCACACTGACCTCCACCAAGATAGTACTTTCAACTTCACTATAGTCAAGGAATTCTTGCACTAGACAAAAAGATGGAAAGACACAGGAAAATCATCAAGGCTTGCCACTCCTGCAAGCAATCCAGCCACTCCCTCTGCAATGAAGACATAGTTAAAAATGCTGTACCCACATGTGGCTTTTAAGTGGCTGTTGGCAACACCCTCAGCTGTATGGGTCCTGGAGGTTTTTACATTATGGACAAAGTACCACATGACAATCTGACTACATTTATGCAAAGTCATTAATGCAGAATGTCCCACGACACTTCACAAGAGTGATATTGAACAAAATTTGACAAGTCACACAACAGGATTTCTGTTCCAATGTACACATCTTTAGAATGGGAGGCAGAGAGAAGTGATGCCACCCTCTAGGATTGTTCTGGGGTCCCCAGGAATTAAATATTAATCTACCAAGCATTACTGCAAGGAACTGTGAAGAAATATCATAGAGGCATTAAAAATCTGTTGTTTTGTGCATTTTTTTTCTACTCTTGTTTATCATTATTAAAAATATTGCAAATTGGAAGGAGGCTGTTTGGCAGGCTAATTCAGGCAACAACATCATATGATGAAACTCCAGGAATATGAGCCTCATTTGGACAGATACATGAATAAGAAAGGTTTAGAGGGATATGGGCCAAATGCAGGCAATTGGAATTAATTTAGTTTGGGAAACTTGGTCAACATGAACGAGTTGGACCGAAGAGTCTATTTCCGTGCTGTGTGACTTTGTCCAACCAGAAGTAACAGCCACAAACAGGAAAGATAATAAAATAAATTATTTGCATCAAATTTGTGTGGTTGTATATTCTTTCTTTAAAAAGAATTCTGAACTCATTAACACAACTTATACACACATCTAGTTTCTGGAGTGCTGAACAAATCCTGATTTTAGCATGGTTTAATAACACCTAGGACTAACATAATCCGTAATAGCCCTGCTCTTCATGAAAAAGTCTGACAACAGTCTGCTCCTGTAAATTTGCACAAAACTTTTTCAAACAAGTTTGAACAGCGTCTGATCTAATCAAAATACTGTTTCTTTTAAAATAAAATCTGAAGGGGTTTAAATGTCACGTTTCAAGCCAAAAATACTAAATAGGGTCATTTGTACTTAAGAAAGTGGCAAAACGTAGCAGCATTTTGTGCGAGAAATAGATGAGTGAGCTCCACGCACCACTTACCTATACTCAGGTAAACTCTCATAGTCCCAAAGCACTTCTCACCTGAGAATACGATTATTTCCGGGTCAGTTCCGTTAAGCTCCTCGCTCCGCCCCTTTTCCTATGGTTGATGACAGCCAGAGGAGAGGATGTCTCCCACTACTGGCCATGAGGGTAATCTGCAGCGCCAGATGCCCAATACCTAGATGGACCAGCCGCTTGGTGCAGTGAGAGATTCTATTGTTAAAAGACTCATGAGAAAGTGTTAGGTTGGCCCAGGTTCAACAAATTAAAATCTAATCAAAAATTTCTCCCCCGTTACTTTCAAAGAAGCCCAACCATTAAAAAAATGCAAACGTGAATGCAATAAAAATGGAAATTATTGGAGAAAACCAGCAATTCTGGCAGCATTTGGGGAGACAGAAACAGATTCAGTGTTTTGATTCCACTGTGACTTCTTTGGAATTGAAGGGACCTGGAAAAATGATAGGTCTTAGTTTCAAAGGATGTTATTAAATTGGAAAGGGTGCAGAAAAGAAAGGAATATTACCAGGACTTGAGGGTTTGAGTTGTAAGGTGAGGCTGGACAGGCTGGGACTTTTTTTCCCCAGGAGTGTAGTAGGCTGAGAGGTGACCTTATAGAGGTTTATGAAATCGTGAGAGGCATAGATAAAGTGAATAGCCAAGGTCTTTTCCCTAGTGTATGGGGAGTCCAAAACTAGAGGTCACAGGTTTAAGGTCAGAGGGGAAAGATTGAAAGAGACCTGTGGGACAACTTCTTCACACAGACGGTGGAACGTATATGGAATGAACTGCCAGAGGAAGTGGTAGAGATGGGTACAATTACAACATTTAAATACATTTGAATAGGTACATGAATAGGAAAGGTTTAGACGGATATGGACTAAACATAGACAAATGAGACTAGTTTAATTTGGGAAACCTGGCCAACACAGACAAATTGGACCGAAGGCTCTGTTTCTATGCTGTATGACTCTATAACTCCATGACATTTGATCTGAAATGTTAACTGTGTTTCTCTCTACAGAAATGCTGTCAGATCTGGTCAGTTTCTCAAGCATTTATTTTTATTTCGGGTATCCTGCATCCACAGTACTTTGCTTTTAAATATTAATGTGCTCCACAGGAACTGTCCACAATAGGCTACTTGCTGTGGTGCTCGTAGGTAGCAGACCTCAAGATATAAATAATTTGGTGGACATCTCTCCAGGACATTTGTATCCAATGATAATTGCAGTCATGCATCGGTGAGTTGCCAAGCTTTTGGTTTTGTTGTGATCAGCTGGGCTCAGAAACCTGCAAATCAGAGGACTAAGAAATTTACAAGTGCAGTTTCCCAGGAGGTCTTGTAGTGGTAACATCCCTGCCAATGAGATAGAACACCTAGTTCAAGTCTCATTCCTGGACAGGATGACCAAAGGGAAAGTTTGTTCACAACATGACCAAACAGTTTAAGTATTAATTTGCCAATCCCCAAATGGCAGACGGTAAGAAGAAGAGAAACTCCTGGTCAGCAATGTGACGGAAAGAAAATTCGAGCCTTTACCACCACTATACATAACTACAGCCAAACCAAGCATATAGAAACATGAACAGAGGCTGGGGTGAATGAAATTGGTTTCAATAGCAGTGAGCTCCAGGGTGGTTAGGAGGAGGCAATGTGGCAAGATGTAAAAAGCCTGAGAACAACGCACAATTTTTACTTCTATTCATTTGCAGGATGTGGGCGTCGCTGGCTGGCCAGCATTTCTTGCCCATCCCTAGTTGTCCTTGAGAAGGTGGTGGTGAGCTGTCTTCTTGAACCACTGCAGTCCTCCTGCTGTGGGTTGACCCACAGTGCTATTAGGGAGGGAATTCCAGGATTCTGACCCAACGACAGTGAAGGAACGGTAATATATTTCCAAGTCAGGATGGTGAGTGACTTGGAGGGGAACTTGGAGGTGGTGGTGTTCCCATATGTCTGATGCCCTTGTCCTTCTATATGGAAGTGGTCGTGGGTTTGGAAGGTGCTGTCTGAGGATCTTTGGTGAATTTCTGCAGTGTATCTTGTAGATAGTACACACTGCTGCTACTGAGCGTCGCTGGTGGAGGGAGTGGATACTTGTGGATGTAGTGCCAATCAAGCAGGCTGCTTTGTCCTGGATGGTGTCAAGCTTCTCGAGTGTTGTTGGAGCTGCACTCACCCAGGCAAGTGGGGAGTATTCCATCACACTCCTGACTCGTGCCTTGTAGATGGTAGACAGGCTTTGAGGAGTTACTCGCCACAGTATTCCTAGGTTCTGGCCTGCTCCTGTAGCCACTGTGTTAATGTGGTGAGTCCAGTTGAGTTTCTGGTCAATGGTAACCCCCAGGATGTTGGTAGTGGGGGATTCAGTGATGGTAACACCATTGAATGTCAAGGGATGGTGGTTAGATTGTCTTTTATTGGTGATGGTCATAGCCTGGTATTTGTATGGCGCGAATGTCACTTGCCACTTGTTAGCACAAGCCTGGATATTGACCAGACCTTGTTGCATGTCAACATGGACTGCTTCAGTATCTGAGGAGTCACGAATGGTACTGAACATTGTGCAATCATCGGCGAATATCCCCACTTCTGACCTTATGATGGAGGGAAGGTCATTGAAGAAGCAGCTGAAGATGGTTGGGCCAAGGACACTACCCTGAGGAACTCCTGCAGAGATGTCCTGGAGCTGAGATGATTGACCGCCAACAACCATGACCATTTTCCTAGGTGTCAGGTATGACTCCAACCACCGAAGAGTTTGCCCCCGATACCCATTGATTCCAGTTTTGCTGGGGTTCCTTGATGCCACACTCGGTCAAATGCAGACCTGAAAGGGCTGTCACTCTCACCTCACCTCTGGAATTCAGCTCTTTTGTCCATGTTTGAACCAAGGCTGTAATGAGATCAGGAGCTGAGTGGCCCTGGCGGAACCCAAACTGGGCATCACTGAGCAGGTTACTTCCGAGCTGGTCTGCTTGATAGCATTGTTGATGACACCTTCCATCACTTTACTGATGATTGAGAGGAGACTGATGGGGCAGTAATTGGCTGGGTTGAATTTATCCTGCTTTCTATGTACAGGACATACTTGGCCAATTTTCCACATTGTCGGGTAGATACCAGTGTCATAACTGTACTGGAACAGCTTGGCTAGGGGAGCAGCAAGTTCTGGAGCACAAGTCTTCAGTACTTTTGCCGTAATGTTTATAGGGCCTGTAGCCTTTGCAGTATCCAGTGTCTCCAAGCGTTTCTTGATATCACGTGGAGTGAATCGAATTGGCTGAAGACTGGTACCTGTAATGCTGGGGACCACTGGAGGAGGCTGAGGTGGATCATCCACTCGGCACTTCTGGCTGAAGATTGCTGCGAATGCTTCAGCCTTATCTTTTGCACTGATGTGCTGGTCTCCTCCATCATTGAGGATGGGGATAATTGTGGGGCCTCCTCCTCCAGTGAGTTGTTTAATTGTCCACCACCATTCACGACTGCATGTGGCAGGACTGCAGAGCTTAGATCTGATCTGTTGGTTGTGGGATTGCTTAGCTCTGTCTGTCACTTGATGCTTCCACTGTTTGGTGTGCAAATAGTCCTGTTTGGTGGCTTCACCTTGTTGATACCTCACCTTCAGGAATGCCTGGTGCTGCTCCTGGCATGTCCTCCTACTCTCTTCATTGAACCAGGGTTGATCCCCTGGTTTGATGGTAATGTTTGAGTGGGGGATATGCTGGGCCATGAGGTTACAGATTGTCCCAGAGTACAATTCTGCTGCTGCCCACAGCAACTCATGGATGCCCAGTCTTGAGTTGCAAGATCTGTGCAACGTCTATCCCATTTAGCATGGTGATCATGCGACACAACACAATGGAGGCTGTTCTCAATGTGAAGGCGGGACTTCGTCTCCACAAGGACTGTGCAATGGTCACTCTTACTGGTACTGTCATGGACAGATGCAACTGCAGCTGGCAGATTAGTAAGGATGAGGTCAAGTATGCTTTTCCCTCTTGTTGGTTCCCTCACCACCTGCTGCAGACTCAGTCTAGCAGCTATGTCCTTTAGGACCCCACCAGCTCAATCAGTAGTACTGCTGCCAAGCCACTCTTGCCATTGAAATCCCCCACCTAGAGTACATTTGGTGCCCTTGCCATCCTCAGTGATTCCTCTAAGTGTTGTTCAACATTGAGGAGTACTGAATCATCAGCTGAGGGAGGACAGTATGTTGTAATCAGCAAGAGGTTTCCTTGCCCACGTTTAACTTGAAGCCATGAGCTTCACGGGGTCCAGAGTCAATGTTGAGGACTCCTAGAGCAACACGCTATCGACTGTATACCGCTGTGCTGCCACCTCTGCTGGGTCTGTCTTGCTGATGGGTCAGGACATATCCAGGGATGGTGATGGTGGTGGCTGGGACATTGTCTGCAAGGTATGATTCTGTGAGTATGACCACATCAGGCTGTTGCTTAACTAGTCTGTGAGACATCTCTCCCAATTTTGGCACTAACCCTCAGATGTTAGTGAGGAGGACATTGTAGGGTCAACAGGGTTGTTTCTGCCGTTGTTTTTTCTAGTGCTTAGGTTGATGCCAGGTGATCTGTCCAGTTTCATTTCTGTGAGACTTCGTAGCGATTTGTACAACTGAGTTGCTTGTTAGGCCATTTCAGAGGGCAATTGAGAGTCAACCATATTGCTGTGGGTCTGGAGTCACATGTAGGCCAAACCGGGTAAGGATGGCAGATTTCCTTCCCTGAAGGGCACTAGAGAACCAGATGGGTTTTTCCGACAATCGACAATGGATTCATAGTGATCAGTAGATTCTTAATTCCAGACTTTTTTTTTGAATTCAAATTCCACCATCTGCCGTGGTGGGATTCAAACCCGGGTACCCAGAACATCAGCTGGGTTTCCGGATTAATAGTCTAGCAATAATACCACTAGGCCATCGCCTACCCCTGGAATGGAAAATAAATCGAGGTTACGCTTTTTGGAAGCCCAGTCTGTTAGATATAATGGGATAAATATATATTTATAATCAATAAACGTTTTGAAAATCCAATATGTTAAAAATTGAAATTAGGATGGCACAGTGGTTTGCACTGATACCTCACAGTGGAAGGGACACAGGTCCGATTCCAGCCTTGGGAGACTGCCTGTGTAGAGTTTGCACATTCTCCCTGTGTCTCTGGTGCTCTGGTTTCCTCCCACAGTCCAAAGATGTGCAGATTAGCTTGATTGACCATGCTCAATTGCCCTGTAAAGTCCGGGGAATTGCAGGCTAGTAAGTACTGTAAATATCCCAACCTCATGGTAAATATGGGGGTTGAGTGGGATGTTCTTCAGAGGGTCAGTGCAGAATCAATAAGCTGAATGGCCTCAACCTGCACTGTAGGGATTCTATGAAATCACTGTTATATTATTTGTAAATAAATAATGTTGTTATGAGGATGTATACCCAGAGTTTCATATTTTATTGCTTTACTGCAGAGCCCAGGAACCATCAGTTGACCAGTTATATGGAGAACAGCAAAATAAAACACGGAAGTTCCAACATTTTAATTCGACAATCGTGATTATTTCAAACTCCTGAGAACAAGTCATAACATTAAGCTTTCAAAGTTCACAGCTAAAAAAATTGCCTCAGTTGATAAAACTACATAAACGAATCACGCAAGCAAAATGTACCAGAATTAGCAAGTAATGTTTAATCCTATTAGGTACTGTAGAATCAGTGAGTGACACAGCAGAGAAGACGACCATTCGACCCATTAAGTTTGTGCAGCTCTTTGAAAGAGCCATCCAGTTGTTGCATTTCCCTACCTTTTACAATAACCCTGCATTTTTTACTCTTGTTTCTCCAGGTCCATTTAAAGAAAGTTAATAAATCTGTACCCATTTCCTTTTCCAGACTGTGCATTTCAAATCATAACAAGCTGCGGCAGAAAATTCACGAGCCTCCTTTGGTTCTTTTGCTGTCCGGAGTTGGCGGCAAAGCCCTTTTGACAGTTTCGTGGAGTCCTGGCTCTATTTTTGTGAAAGAAAAGCCAACATCCATGCACCAACTTCTTTTCCCCTCACAATGTATCTTAAAAAAAAAACTTTGAATGAAAGTGGATGAAATGAAATGAGAGTATAGGCGGCCACCTTTGTTACGGACAATATTTCTCCCCCAGTTTGAGCCAGGGCGTCTCAGGCGTTGCCCCAGCAACCGCCGCCCGCCCTAGTAACGGCACCCAGGAATAAGCTGCCTCCTCGTTGGTCCTTTTCGAACGCAGCGGCCAATCGGAAGTATGTTTAAATGTCAGTGGCGGTTTTTGCTGCTTGGTTGGTCAGGGCTTTAATGAATTTATTTATTAATTAATTTATTGTTTGTTTGGTCGATCGAAGGAGCCGGAGGCTGAGGGTTAAGCAATGTCAGTGAAGAGTTCGATTGGGAATCCTGAGGTTTGTGGAGAGCCTGGAGTTCTTGTCTGTCAGGGGATGGGAAGGGGGGCACACGGCTATCCGACTGTGTAGGCCTCAGAGCTTGGCTGACCCCCTCCTCCCCATCAACATCTATATATCCACGACCCTCGTTTCTCTCCCACACCCCTTGATGAGCCGTTCCACCCAGCCCTTTCCTTTGTGCCCTCGCCATTCTTCTTGTTGACCCTGCTGTGTCTTCGGCCATCCCTGGCGACACCCTTGTCATCACTTGCCCTGTGCCCTCCATCTTCCACCTTGTATGTTGTGCCCTCAGTCATAGCGTCAGCGGTTTGCAGCACAGATTTAGGCCCTTCGGCTATTGACTTTGCGCTGGTCAAAAATAACCACCTAACTATTCTGATCCTCTTTTCCAGCTCTTGGCCTTTAACTTTGTATGCCTTGGCATCACAAGTGCACATCCAGATTATTCCTAGATGTTATGACGGCTTCTGCCTCAATGACCCTTATGGTCAGTGAGTTCCAGATTCCCACCCACCCTTTGCATGAAAAAATATTTCCTTCTCAGGCGACTATATGGAGTTTGCACGTTCTCCCTGTGTCTTTAAGGGTTAACTCCCACAGTCCAAAGACATGCAGGTTAGGTGCATTGGCCATGCTAAATTGTCCATAGTGTCCAAGGATGTGCAGGCTATATGGATTAGCCATGGGAAATGCATGGTTACAGGGATGGGGTGGGTGTGGGTAGGATGCTGTTCAGAGGGTCGATGTGGACTCAATGGGCCGAATGGCCAGCTTCCAAACTGCAGTGATTCTATGATCTCCTCCAAACCTTAATTACCTTAAATCTATGCTTCCTGGTCATTGATCCCTTTATCAAAGTGAAACGTTTCTTCCTGCCTCTATCTATTGCCTCTCATAATTTTACCATCTCAATCACGTCCCCTCTCGTTCTGCTGTGCTCCGCTCCAAGGAAAATAACACCACTCTATCCGAGTTCAGGAGCAGTGCAAAATGAGTTGCCAACTTGACTCCACCTCCTTTGGGCTTAAGTTCTCATGCCCATCATTTTCTCTCCCTCTCTCAAAATCCTCCATCCTTTTCTCTGGATCCCTCCCTCTGCCCAATCATTTGTTGAAATGCAGTTCATTCTCTACATTTCTGTCGTTGCTTAAAATTCATGCAACTTGCTGTTTTTGTAGTAACTATTTTTGTCGTTTTATTTCTCCATAGTTTCTGAAGAAAAGAGTTGTACCAAATCCAAAGTATCATTATGTTCGAGCACGAATTGATACTGGTAAGTAGACTAAATAATTGCCTTGATTTGTCAACTCGGGCTTAATATTCTGCGGGCATTACAAAACAAAATCTAGATAATCTTATCAGGATGTGAAATATTTTATTTTCCATGAAACATTTAAGAGAATTGGGAGATCCTTCAAGAAAGTCACTAAATGGCATAGAAAAAGCAGAGGTATGAAATTAGAATGGGCAGCTCCAATATTGATGTTGCACTGACAGAAGCATGATGGACTAAATAACCTTTCCATCTTTTTGGTCCAGAAATTGCTATGCTTATAACAAAAGGGAATGGAAAAAGCATGTTAGAAGATGATGGTACAGTATTCAAAGAGCATTGACACACTAGCAAATTTCATGAATTGATCATGTCAGACTGCTTCTGAGACCCACTGCAGCCTTGACATAACATTCTTGATGAAGGTGAGATGTGAGGGAGCGTTGAGAGATGATTTATTTTCTTTCCCAAAGGTTTGCTTTCCTTCACCTATCTTGGCCGATTTAATTTAAAGTGCAGTGAACGAAATGTATAATATGTAATTGATGAACATCTGTTTTGAAATGCAATGATAGTGGATTTTACTTTACTGCTAATTATACGTCAATAACATGTTTTCCATGATTAGGCAGATTATATAAAATCTGAGAGTATCATCAGTAGGAATCACAGCCATGCAAACCACTTCTAATTTGACCAAACTGGTAGCATGGTTGTCTCTGGGTTAGCTGCATATGGATGAATTGGAGAAGGGAAGTTTAGGAGAGCTTGAGTTGAGGAACATTTCAGTCTCAGGCAGAAGAAGCCTAATCTTTCCTAAATCTTCCTTCCCCCTCTGGTGCTATTAAGAAACCTGAAAGTCTCAAGCTTTTCTTCTCTTCTGATTTTGTTCAGCTTGGTATGAAAGTTGCTGTGGCTTCTGTACTGAAACCAGAACTGAAATTGTAGTTGGAGATCAATTAGACCCTAATCTCTGTAATTAAGGAAAAGCCTTGTTAGTATAGGGCATCTTGGATTCAATTAAATAGGTAGGATTCATGTTGGTTTTCATCAAATAACGTACACGTGTTCTTGCAGTTTTGGCCAGGACATAAATTTTCTTTTATTCATTTGTGGGATGTGGGTATCTCTGGCTGGCCAGCATTTATTGCCTGTTCCTAGTTGCCCTTGAGAAGGTGATAGTGAGCTGCCTTCTTGAACTGTTGCAGTCCACCTGCTGTGGGTTTACCCACTATGCCATTAGGGAGGGGATTCCAAGATTTTGACCCAGCAACGATGAAGGAACGACGATATATTTCTAAATCAGAATGGTGAGTGGCTTGGAGGGGAACATGAAGGTGGTGGCGTTCCCACATATCTGCTGCCCTTGTCCTTCTAGATGGAAGTGGTCGTAGGTGCTGCCTGAGGATCTTTGGTGAATTTCTGCAGTGCATCTCGTAGAAAGTACACACTGCTGCTACTGAGCGTTAGTGGTGGAGGGAGTGGATGCTTGTGGATATAGTGCCAATCAAGCAGGCTGCTTTGTCCTGGATGATGTCAAACAGCTTGAGTGTTTTTGGGGCTGCACTCATCCAGGCAAGTTTGGAGTGTTCCATCACACTCCTGACTTGTGCCTTTATAGATGGTGGACAGGCTTTGAGGAGTCAGGAGGTGAATTACTCGCCGCAGTATTCCCAGCTTCTGACCAGATGAGGTCAAGAATATTTTTCCCTTTTGTTGGTTCCCTCACCACCTGCCACAGACCCCGTCTAGCAGCTATGTCCTTTCGGACCCAAACAGCTTGATCTGTAGTACTGCTGCCGAGCCACTGTTGGTGGTGGACATTCAAATCCCCCACCCAGAGTACATTTTGTGCCCTTGCCATCCTAAATGCTTCCTCCAAGTGTTGTTCAAAATGGAGGAGTACCGATTTGTCAGCTGAGGGACGATGGTATGTGGTAATCAGCAGGAGGTTTCCTTGCCCATGTTTTAACATGAAGCCAAGAGACTTCATGGGATCCGGAGTCAATGTTGAGGACTCCCAGGGCAACTCACTCTTGACTTTATACCACTGTGCCCCCCACCTCTATCCGGTCTGTCCTGCTGCTGGGACAGGACATATCCAGGGATGGTGATGGTCGTGTCTGGGTCATATCCAGGGATGGTGATGGTCGTGTCTGGGTCATATCCAGGGATGGTGATGGTCATGTCTGTGTCATATCCAGGGATGGTGATGGTCGTGTCTGGGACATTGTCTGTAAGGTATGATTCCATGAGTATGACAATGTCTGGTTGTTGCTTGACTAGTCTGTGAGACAGCTGTCCCAATTTTGGCACTAGCCTCCAGTTGTTAGTAAGGAGGACTCTGCAGGGTTGACAGGGCTGTTTCTGCCGTTGTCTTTTCCAGTGCCTACGTCGATGCCAGGTGATCCATCCGGTTTCATTGCTTTGAGATTTTGTAGCGATTGAATGGCTTGCTAGGCCATTTCAGAGGGCAGTTGAGAGTCAACCACATTGCTGTGGGTCTAGAGTCACATGTAGGCCAGACAAGGTGAGGGTGGCAGATTACCTTCTCTGAAGGACGTTAGTAAACCAGATGGGTTTCTCTAACAATTGGCAATGATTTCATGGTCATCAGTAGATTCTTAATTCCAGATTTTTCTTTGTTGAATTCAAATTCCACCATCTGCTGTGGCGGGATTCAAATATAGATCCCCAGAACATTAGCTAAGTTTCTCAATTAATAGTCTAGTCATAATACCACTAGGCCATCAACTACCCATTAAATGGACACAATCTGATTGGTAGGTCACTGAAGTCAGTGGAAAGGCAATTAAGGTGATGTTTACAACAAGAGCTGATTAAATATCACCCATTTTGTGCTCATTCATCAAATGCAACTTCAACCTTCAAGTTGTACTGCACCATATTTATACTCTAATTGTATGGGCTCCTGGTCAGTATTTTTTATGCAGAGCTTTAAGAACACCTCCTTGTCTTGATGCATTAGACTAGGAGAGAGTTCATTGATGGTTGGTTGGAATGATACAAATAAAGAGTTTTATTTATAAGAAGTTTTGAATTTAGCGTGTATTCCTCAAAATTATAAATGTTAAAGAGTGATCAGATTTCAATGTTTAAAGCAAGTAATAAATTTGATAGCAATAAAAACAGAAATTGCTGGAAATGTTGAGCAGGTCTGGCAGCATCTATGAAGAGAAATCAGAGTTAACGTTTCAGGTCTGTTGACACTTCCTGAAGGGTCCAGCAATTTGCCAGCAATTTATGTTTTTGTTTCTGATTTTCACCACCCACAGTTCTTTCGGTTTTTATTAAGAAAATTGATAGGATGTTGGCTTCCAAGTTGCGTAAAAGTTAATCTGATTAAAAGCAATTGATGAAAAAACATCACACAAGCAGTGGAAAGAATGTCGGACATATTGCTCCTGGAAGTTTCTTGTGCAAAATTAACTGATGAATTAAAAATCCAGATGGAAAGTTTCCTGGAAATCAGGTATTAAAATTATGTAGTGAGCGGAAGAAATCAGAATTTAGATACAGATATTTTCTAGCCAACTTGTCAGAACTGCTTCTGGAGCAAGTGGGACCTGATTCCAGGTCTCCTGGTTCAAAGCTAAATGGGGATCACGCTTGGCCCAATTGCCCTACCCCTGTTTCTGTGTAACAACCAGTGGTGTGGTAATACCACCTTAAGATGCATGAATGCTGCAGGTTCATAATAACACTGTAAAAGAAATGCTCAAAATATTTACCAGCCTTAACTTAATCCAGCATTCTCTTCTTTGGGGCAAGATGTTGTGGATCAATCTCTACTCCAGAGAGATGAAAGCATAATCTAGGCTGAGACTTCAGTGCAGTACTGAAGGAGTGTTAAACATCAGGAGATGGCTTATTTTGAGTGATGTGTTAAACCAAAGTCATATGCCTGCTGAGGTGAATGCAAGGAATCCCAGGACACTGTATAAAAAAGAATAGCTAAATTCTTCTGGTGTCCTGGAAAAAGTTTAGGAATGTAGGAACAGAAGTACTCCATTTAGCCCCTCCTCCCTGTTCTACAATTCAATTAGACCATTACTGATCAGTAACTGCTTACATTTGACTTTGCCCCATATCCCCAATACTTTTAGATAACAAAAAGTAATGAAATAACTTTTTCTAATCAATCTTGGATTAAAATTAATAATTGAACCAGCTGTTTGTGAAAGTGTGTTTTAAACTTCAATTAATTTTTGTGCAGAAGTACTTCCTAACTTCATGCTTAATGGCCTTGCTTTAAATTTTACACTATGCCCCATCATTCTATGTTTTTCAATGAGTAGAAATAGTTTCTTGTCATCTAAGCTACTGTTCCTGCCCCTTACCTTCTAAACTCGTGGGAATACAACCCTAGTTTTTATAATCTGCCCTATTTAACCCTTAAGAGTTCAGGCATCATTCTGGTATATTTATGTCATACTCTCTCTGAGATCGACATATTTTTCCTGAGATGCACAGTGAGGTCCAACCAGGTATATAATAGCTGCACTGTAATTTCTTCCCATTTGCGTGTGTGTGTGTGGGCTATTCAACCGATTTCATATCCAAGTCAATAATTTGTCTTCAGTTTTATCAAATTCAACTTCCTCTAACAATTTCTTTGAGTGACTTTATTAAATGTATCTGGAAGTCTATGTAAATAACATCCAAAGACAGTCACTATTCACACTGTTAGCCACCACTTCCCCCAAAAAATCAGGATTATCCAATTTATTCTGCAATATTATTGTTTGGGCAAGTTGGCTGCCAGGTTTGCCTGTATGACAGTAGTAACTACACTTCAAAAGTACTTCGTTGGTTGTAATGTTCCTTGGAATATGAAAAGCACTATATAAAGGCAAGTTAATTTCTATTTTCTTACACAAGTCATGTATTGGAAGGATTAAACATCAGTTTATTTTAATTTACCACATGTTTGCTCAAAAATGCTATTACATCTCTCTAACCTTCTTATGAAATAAGTT